AAAAAAGAGGAGTGCCGCCAGAAACGGAAGACGGAGGCCAGCTTGTAGGTGCAAGGTTCCCCGCAAGGTATAATTATAAGGTGTTGGTTTTGAAATATAGAGGTATCAATGCGCACAGCTGATCACAAGGGTGTGTACTTATATCATATGATGATAGAATTAAATATAAGGGTTTGATTAAATATTAGACTATTGTATTTAATTATATATTCATATAATATAAGGGTGTCTCTTCATGATTATTTGGGTAAATATAAGGGTTTGATTAAATATAAGGGTCTGAATAAATACAAGTCTTTCCATATAAGGGTACAGTAAAATAGGTAAAGTCTTAACATGATTATAAGGGTGTTCTTAATAAATGTGTAATAATATAGTCCAAGTGTGCAATAATGAATTTTAAGATATCTATCAATCCAATAAACAGTAAAGACTGTTATCTGGGGCCATACCACAATGAACTTACTGCATCCCGTCCGATCTGCGCAGTCAAACATTATAGGGCCGAGTCAGTAGTGCGGTGGGAGACCACGTGTGAATACTCTGGTGCCCCAGGTATTTTTTTTTTTGCATCATAGGAGAACAACTTAGTTAAATATCTTTTTTTATACAACCATTCCTTGAAACTACAATCAGAACAAGGTCTAAAGGTGTCAAATATGTTTTACATTGTTATCAAATTCAAATCGCTACTCTAACTTTGTAAAAACACACAAACGCTTAACGCATCAAATATTGATGAACAACCAACTTTTTATTACACATAGAACGAGTTAAGATAAACCAGACTTGTAGGGTATGAACACATGCACAATGATGTGGAGAGTTTAGAAAAACATTGAAAATTTAAAGTTCATAAACAAGATTTGAAGCTATGAGCAAAACAAAAAAAAATTCCTTGGGATTTGCTTCTTGCGCGCTCAATAACTCAAGTACCAGTGATGCTACAGATAAACCGTGGACATATATGGAGTCAGGCATATGAGGAGCAACTATCCTGCAATTTTCAGAAAATTGATAACTTTTTTTTTTGGTCAAAAGCGTAGTGAGGTGTAGTTACTTTCATAGTGTGGTGTGGTAAATGTCAAATTGACTTATTTGAGTAGTGTAGTGTAATGAGTTTCATTTTTGAGTGTTGTGTAGTGTTTTTATTTTAATGATGTTGTGTGGTGAATTTCAAGTTTGTAGTGTGTTTGATGTGTTTCATTAGTGTAGTGTAATGAATTTCATTTTTGAGTGTTGTGTAGTGTTTTTATTTTAATGACTAGAGACTATGCGGGCATGCCCGCAACTGGGAATTGTCATACAGTTAATGTGCCTTACCATAAGTGTTTAAGTGTACCATAAACCCAATAACAAGATCAGGATTTGGGAGTGAATAGCTCCCATCATCCATGTACCTCCAACGCCTGCTTCTTATATGATTACTGGTATTCATTATGTACCACTCATATACCTTCGTGTACACCTTTTGAATCTTGTGTGACAACATTGTATCAACTTCCCATCAATTAGAAGGATTATATAAATATACAAGTCATAGATTCATCATTGATGATTGGTTCAGTGGAATGATTAAAACTGAAGTGCAAGGCAGTGAAACAAGTGAAGTGAATGTGTTGTTACACAAATTAAATCTAAAACCCACCATGACCAATCTTTCTTCTCATCCAAATCAATTTAAACCCAATGATTATTTGAAACAAGACATTTTTGCATTTTTTTGAATTTAAAAATCAATTGATTGATTAGAAAAATTGGGTTCAATTTGATCAAATTGGTTCAAATCATGAAGTTGTAATTCAGAATTTGATTGTGAAATGCAAAATTTGTGGCAGAAAATATCTGCTGTTGATCGAAGGTGCAACATCTAAGGAGATTAAAGTGAGTCAATCATTTGGTTGTTGCAATAAGCACCCCCTACATGGGTTGAACACATGGTAACACAGGTAGAAATTGGCCACAAACGTGGTGGGTAAATGGGACAAGAACAGACATAAGAAGTGCTATTTATCCAAGGCTTCAATATGTAGAAAGTCATTAGGACAATGACAAACAGCTTTTTAAACATCTAAAGGAACTGATGAATTGAGGATGCAAGCCTTAATTGTAACTTCTCATTTAAAGAAACAGGCATAAATATGAAGGAAGAAAATCTAAGAATTTGTAACAAAGTAGTGAAGCGGATGAACAAAATTGAGGTTTATGTGTGATTGACTGTGAACAACTGCAGGGATGAGATGTTGCTTAGATGATACCAAAAGAGAGGAGTTATTATAGCCTGCCTCGGTAGTAGGCAAGCAAAAGTGGAGCAACAGCCATTGGGATAGCACCTCAACCTGAAAAGCAATGAGATGTGAAAAGGCACAAAATTAAAGATTTAAGCTGAGCAGT